CACTCGACAGTCACTTATACATGTAGTTAGTATGTTAGTAATGGAATCACAATTTTAAACATTTTTATTTTGCACAGCTTCCTTTTTCAACAAAGACCAAGATGGGTCATCGTTAAAGGCAGCTCTTCTGTCCGGTTCCCCAGGAGTTGGTAAAACCACAACAGCAACACTGGTTTGTGGAGAGCTTGGTTTTACATACATTAAAATGAATGCTAGTGACACACGGAGCAAAAGGACTTTAGAAGAACAAATTTCTCATTCACTGAGCAATAAAACCATGGATGGCTTTCTGTTGTCAAATTTCTGTAAGATTTGGAATGAATTTTATATTATAAAGATGCTTCATTCATTCTCCTGTCTTAGTAAGCTGATTTTCCTCAGTAGTTAATTTATTATTATCAACTGAGTTAGTTACGTAAATTACAGCTCTATTGGTCATTTTTTCCTACAAAATTTGTGAAGTTTCCAAGCCGACAAGTCGCCCTCATCAATAATAAGAAAATTTCCTTCACTATGCTTTCGGTATCTGTGTTTCTCTTGTGGTGTAAAACACCTAAGTAACACATGAGGTCTCGTTAGTTTTGGTTATATAATAAGTGAATAACCCACATCTCTTACTCACCCGAGCGCCACGTGCTTACTGTAAGTTCAGGAGCGAGTTTTTTTGTTTTTGTTTTTTTTTTCCGCTTTGATTCGCAAACGCAAAGCCTATAGTTTGGTCATGGTTTCTAATAGGAACTTATAGAGAAAGGAACTATGCTCATTCTCCCCAGTCCTTTCAGCGCCCTTCGATCCACCTAAGCAGGTGGTGGTTTAACGACCATCACATCAGCAAAAAAAAAATAAATAAAAAAGTAGGATGTTTATGTCATTGTGCTACACACCGGATTAATGAAAATGAAAAGTTAAAAAATGTAACATGAAGCCCTGTCCAAACGGTTTACGGTCAAGTCGCCCGAATGTCATCTCGCCCGAAGTCATGTCGCCCGAAACCAGAGTCATGTTGCCCGAAATTCATAGTCGTGTCGCTCGAAATCCTAAGTCATGTCGCCCGAAGTTTTATCGAGTGTTTAAACTTGAAGAAAAGTAACATCTTGAGTAAATCGCAAGGAATAAACTCGTAAAATGTTGACTCGTGAAACTCAGGTTGTTCATTTCGCTGTCGTTTGATATCACGGAGATAGTAATCTTAAAATAGAACACGAAAATAAAAAAAATATAATAATATCAGTTACAGTATGGCTCTAACTGTTGTTGTTTTATTTGTGGAAGCATCCTGTTTCGAACGAGGGTTCACATCACCACGATTAAAACATTGGAACATTGGAAAACGCCGCCATCTTGAATACAGCACGTGCTCAAGAATCATCACATAGTTGCCAAGCAAGACGACGTTGACGTGACTTTGCGGTAAATTCAGACACGTATTAATACAAACATATTTATTGCTAGCAACCAAACCTAATTACACGCGAGGACGCGTGAGTTGACACCCGTCCCTTGAAAACAAATTCAAATGCCAACTTAAGGTAAGTTCGTTAAAAAAAAAAAAAAAAACTTATTACATATCTGATTTTTTTTATCGTGATAAAATAAACTATTCCTTTTGAACTAAAATAATAGTAATAATATCATTACTTTCCTAAACGCGAGCAAAAGCTAAAGAAAAGTGATCTGTACGAACTGGTCCATGTGGTTAGTGAGAGCATACTTTAAGGAGTCGCCTACTTGAAATTTTACTTGCAGTGTAGTCCTCCCAGTAGCCAAAGATTCTTGCTTGAAGTGCGCGATATTTTTTACGCTGGATCCTTTGCAGTTTTCAGGCGTTGACGAGTCGAACTTGGACGGTGTACACAGAGGACTCTCGGTGGAGCAGCTGAATCAGTAGGTAGAAAGGTAGATGAACTCTACCACCAGCGCGTCGGTTGAGGGAGTTGTGCCATCCCTCGATATCATTATTGGTACGGACACATCGGCAGAAATTTTTACAAATGGAAATTTGTAAAATTCCTAAAATATAACAATCAGGAGCTCATGGTCCCGTCTGCTCTCGATCGAGACATATTCAGTGCTGATTCTGCTATTCATCAAACCTCACAGGGACTCGATAAATAAAAACCACTTACTTCCCGAGCCAGTTCTTTTGTCATTGATCATTGACCTAGGTCACCATACAGTTCTTTAAAGTCCGTCGTTCTCCATCCCAAACACTCGCCTATTACAGAAAAGTGCATCAATAAAGTCAACTGCTCTCGATCGAATTGACTGCTACAGAGTTCGAAGCGTCCAAATATCCTGTAAAATAGCCATTTCCTCCTATCAAAAAAGTTCCCAACGCGCCAGAATATCCCTTATTTTCCATGTTGAGTAAGTGACGAGAAGCCATGTTGAAAACTATGACTGAAATAGTTAAACACGAGCAACGCTGATCTTTGAATCGTCGGCCATATTTGTTTATGTTGTTGCAAGGAAATAAATTAGTTTTCGGTCCTTTTCGGAATAAAAATATGCCAGGCATTGAATGCAAATTCAGAAGTCTTAGCGCGAAAATTAAATTAAAGCAAATCAAAATTCTGACATCATGTCATTGCTCTGCCTCGAAAAATCCCAAAGATTTACTTGCAGGCCTTCTTTTCTTTTTCTTTTCATCAAATAGAAGATCTGCAGTGCTCAAATTGTATAAGTCATGGTACGAAACACTCTTCTTTGCAGATCGAGCCGTGATCGCCGCTATATTTGATATTCTATTGTTCCGAAGTGTAATACGATATACCGCTGATAATTGTTAGCGGGCTCGAAATGTCCTTGATTTCTAGCGATAGCTGTCCCTAGACGCTCCAGGAACTGGGTGGAAAAGCGTTGGTGTTGACCCATTGGTTGTCTGGTCGCTTGCAACTTTAGCCGCTGGAAACTCGCTGGAATTTCTTGGTGAAATTTGTACTCCAGGCAGACTTCTCTGGCCGCGGACCAGATTGCTCGCTCGAAGTCAAGAACAATCTTTTGAACTCGTATTTTCGAAAGCTAAACATTGGAAGTTTGCTGAAGTTATCAAGGTTTACCTGAGAAAATCTTGTTCATCGTTGATTGTAGTGATTCTCGTTCATCGGGCTGGCTGATGTTGCAAGGAGGTGGATACTCTGGAGAAAGATCTGCAAAGCAAAAATAAAACCGTATTTTTACCGTGAACTCGTTTAAGGGAAAAAACGTTCAAGATGAGACTTGGGCTAGAAAGGTTAAGTTCTTGGTTAAGAATAAAATTATTTCAGGGACAAACAGTGGAATTTAAATTTTTGTACCTTGCGCGAAGTCGGTTCTTGTGCTATCAGCAGCGGGAACCTGGTCACTTGGGTTCGATGCTGCAAGAAAACATGCAACGCACGACCAATCTATTATTCCTCTGAATTATTCCTACCTCCGGTAGGTGGCAATGATAAAAGAAAACCGCTGTAAAAGTTTCAGGTTGTTTTTTATACGATAAATCAAACTAGGAGAACTTGATTTATTTTTCTGATATGTGTCAAAAATTCTGATAACTGAAAGTGTTCCGCTTATAATTACTAGAATCTGAACTGTAGAATGAGCAGTTTAATTCATAGCAACGAACAACGCTGAAATGAACAGTGATATTTGAGTCTTTGTTTTACTTCATATTCGCATAGGTTAGCGGACAAAAACATTTTACGAGTCAACATTTTACGAGTTTATTCCTTGCGATTGTTACTTTTCTTCCAGATTAAACACTCGATAAAATTTCGGGCGACATGACTCAGGATTTCGGGAGACATGACTATGAATTTTGGGCGACACGACTCTGGTTCCGGGCGACATGACTTCGGGCGACTTGACTGGTTACTTGTCAAAACTTAGTGTATAAATAGTGAAACAGCATAGCTACAAAATAGAAACATGGATCACGAAATAAACAATGATACACGATTTTCTGTTTCGAGTTCGATGAGCTCATATTCAACTTCTTCAATACTGCTTGTGTTACCAAGTGCACCGTTTTGTTACACACTTGTGGGGCAAATCACATTTTCACAGGAGTTAAGGTGAGGATAAAATAAGTTCATAGCGACCTAATGCAGTGAGTGAGATAAACGGGTATTGACTAAAGATACAAATAGAAATCATTTCAAACATGAGACAAAAGAATGAAAGAAATATCGATCTTGTTTACTCGTCAAGAACGCAGGATCGAATCTTAGACCATCGGATTTTACGATCTAAAGTTCACCCACATAGCTTTAAATTTCTCGTTAATGAGCCATGACATACAATGGATACATAAAGGATCATCCTGCA